AGAGAGGCTCAATAAATATTATAACAATGATTTTATGATTATTAAAACTCTAATAGAATTTAGAAGAAATATTCTCACTATAAATGGTTGTATTTCATATAGATGCTACAAATAATTGTACTTTGAGGTTTGGGGACCGCAGGTACGGATTTGAGAGGAAGAGCCAGGAACTGCAGATGCGGTAGTTGGACTGCACCTGCGGCGGAGAGTGGATCGCAGATGCGAAATGGTCTGTTAAGTGATTTCCGTAGAAGCGGAAGATAGACCGCATATGTGGTACTGCAGAAGCGGCAATGGTGCCACAGATGTGACACAACTGGGCAAAAAGTATAAAAAGGGTTCTTCGCGAATTTTGGGTTATTTCACCATTTTTGGACTTCGGCTTGGAACTTTTTGAGCGATTTGAAAGAGGGATTTCAAGGGAACTTCGTTAAGATAAGGATTTTGGACCTAAAACACATTTCTATGGTAATATTTCATGGATTAAGACTGTAATTAAAGGAATTAAAGAGCTAAAAATGGGGGATTAGGGTTTGAGTTTAAGAAGCCTTTAAATGAGGATTTGAGGGGTGATTTGGACTCCGATTTTAGTGTTCTTGATATGCTTGGACTCGTGGGGAGATAATGAATCTATTGATGTAAAAATTTCTGAAATTTCGAGACGTGGGCCCGGGGAACCGGTTTTGGTAATTTCGGGATTTGTGCCCTTTGTTGATTGTTTTCGCTTGGGATTTGTTCCCTTAGCATATTTTGACGTCCTCGTTCTGATTTTGGATAGATTCGACGCGTGTGGAGGCCAATTCAAGGGGCAAAGGCGTCGCGAGCTAGAGATTTAGCCGGTTCAAGGTGAGTAATGATTGTAAATGATGTTCTGAGGGTTTGAAACCCCGGATTGCACATCGTAGTGCTATGTTGAGGTGAGACACACGCTTGATGACGAGCGTGGAGTCATGTACTATTCGGGATTGCGACTTGGTCCGTCCCGGTTGATGATTTTACCGCGTATTTGACCTAAAACTACTTGCTATCATTATTATTTGGGTTGAATGCCATATTTGGGCTTCGTGCCAACTATTTGAACCCTTCGGGGATTTTTATTACTATTTCCTCACTGTTTTGACTTTATACTTGAACTCAGACATGTTATTTTCCATTGTTTTCATACTCAGCCATGTTTACTCAGTTTTAAGACTTAAATAATATTTTAAATGATATTTGGGTTGAGAAACACTGTTTTACTATTGCCCGAGGTGTTTGTGAGTATTTTTGACTGAGTAAGGCCGAGTGCCTAGTTGTGAGGAAACACTGATACTGATTTGAGGCCGAGAGCCTGAGATATATACACCACGAGGTGGCTTGATTGATATGAGGCCGAAGGCCTAGTTTTGATGCCACGAGATGACTTGTTATTGCGCTTGGGCTGTAAGGGGATCCTCCCGGAGTCTGCATACCCCCAGTGAGCGCGGGTACCCATTGTGATGTGAGATTAAGCCCGAGGGGCTGGTACTGTTCTGAGATGTTGCCCGAGGGGCAGATTTGTGGATAACGTGCCCGAGGGGCGAACTTCTATTTGTTTACTTTACCTTAATTACCTGTCAATTACTTGTTTACTTGTTGAAAGAGGATTTAACTTGGGTTTTCACTGGTTTACTGCTTTTAAATGATTTTACTGCTTCATTATAGAATGTTTTGTGCCTCACGTGTTTTCTTACTTTCAGTCGTTATTTACATTTGTCACTCACTGAGTTGGACCCTGTGTGCAGATTCAGGCGTAGCTGGTTCCGTTCCCGAGTGTTGATTCCTCCAGCTTCAGGCGGGTGTTTGGAGATTACGAGGTAGCTGTTGACATCCGCAGCCTCCGTGTCTCTACTCCTTTATTGCTTCTATTCCTTCTCAGACATTTGTACTAGTTTACGGTTTTTAGCATAACTGTATTATGACATATAGATGCTCATGACTTGTGAAACCCCGGTTAGGGCTGTGTCAGGTTGTATTTCCATACTATTTTCCACTACTTAGTATTATTAAATCATGTTTAGACTGCTTTTACGCTAATTAACTGTTTTAAAAAGTGAATTGGGTTTAATTGGTTGACCTTGTCTTCAAGAGAGGCGTCATCACAACCGGGTTCGGGGTTAGGGTCGTGACAATATCAACCTCTATTTAGATGCTCCCATTTATAGACTTGCGCATAGTTCAGTGCTGTTACCGCTGAAGCAGAAAAGTTCTGCTGTTTCAAACAAGAAACTTAAGTATTCTGCAAAAGCATAACAATTTGTCAGAACTTTGTTTCTAAAAACACCACAGTAATTCTAAAGACACAATCTGGTACATGTATTGTCTTCTACTGTTGAATCTTCTTTTTCTGCCTTGAACTTATTTTTAGATTGAATTTTCAGGCTGAATTGGCAACAGTCAACAGACCAGCCGCGGCTGTTTACTAAAATGCTTTTTAGAGATATAGATATGATAAGGATTTCCTCCGGCCGCTTAATCTATCTATAATTAAAAGCAGGGGATAAAAATCCCTCATTAAGCCAAGTGTCACAATGCAAATACGACACATGTCACATTCGGACAAGACTGCTACATATTAGGAATAAACTAACGAAGTACAATCTTAATTACATTAGATATTTTCGATAGAACTTATTTACTCAAATTCTTTTTGCAAAATTCTTCTAAAACCGCCGGTAAAGATTGTCTTCGAATTAATTAATTTAAATTTGTTTAAAATCATTAAATGAATGATTTGTTGCATGTATTCCAAAACCGCCGTTGAAGATTCCCTGCATTTATTTATTAATTTAAATTTGTTTAACAAGCCTTAATTGAACGTGGGTAAAACAAGCATTAATTGAATAACAAGCATTAATTGAACGTGGGTAAAACAAAAAAACCGTTCAAACTTCCAGTAATATATCTAAATTAAATTTATTTTAATTATTTTTAAACAAACGTGACCGGAATCGTTTTGCTCCACAAATTTTGGTAAACAAATTTTAACTTCAATTAACCCTAAATTTTATCTGCAAAGTCACGTTTTCTCTCTGCAAAGTCACCTTATTTTGAACTGTCAAACCCACGATTTACTATATTGTGTATCAACTGCTCAAAGCTCAAAATATATATTTCTTCCACATGTACAACTGCTTCAATTCTAATGTTCGTTCTTCTACCAAGATTTCTACAAAATTACGAATTACCCAAAAGATGGCCGCTAACAATGATTTCACCAAGGATATAACTATATCAAAGATGCAATGGAAGTTGAAAGTTCGTGTTGTCCGTATGTGGGAAAACCCGGATCGTTTTAATCCTGGCTCTATATCTCCATTGAATTGGTTCTACAAGATGAAAAGGTATTTTTATTATGTTATTGGCTTGCTAATTCCTTTCTGCTATTCGAAATTTAAATGTCAATATCCATAGATTTGTTTTGCTCTTCCAGATTTAAATGTCAATATCCAAACATTTGTTTTGCTTTTCCAGATTTTTATAGGAATACTTCGTTTAGTTCGAACTATAACACAAGTTTATTACCAATGCTCAGCTTTATATCCCATATACATGTGGATAATTTGTAATTGTTGTTTTTCTTTGACAATTGCACGCAATTAATTATTTGTACATCAGGGACATGCTTATGGAATCAGATTGAAGGAAAGAAGACCATATTAGTATTTGTTGACGCTTATAATCTAGATTAAGGTAACACCTTTTGAAAAGGGTGAACCAGATGTGAGGATATTTCCCTGTTCAATTCATTCATCCTTGGATAAGTTACACAGTTAAGTATAAAAAAAAAACAAAGGAAGAACAGCAAGAAATCAGAAAAAGAAAGTTTAAGAAGAAGTTCTTCATAAAACTCTGTATCACAATCTTCAACTCAAACAGAATTCTCAAAAGGATTTCCCTCTCAATATCCTTTTCGATTTCTTGCCTGATCGCGTATTTGCATGCGCGTTGACATATTTAAGTAATGTCTGCTCCACTGTATCCTTATTTTAACTTTGCTAGATGTCTCGAGTCTACATTGCTAGAAACAGGTGATTTTCTTAAGCATGTTTTATAAACATTTGCATGACTTGCAAATCTGCNCGCGTTGACATATTTAAGTAATGTCTGCTCCACTGTATCCTTATTTTAACTTTGCTAGATGTCTCGAGTCTACATTGCTAGAAACATGTGATTTTCTTAAGCATGTTTTATAACCATTTGCATGACTTGCAAATCTGCTTTTTTTTGTATTTTTTATAAACATTTACATGACTTGCAAATCTGTTTTTTTGTGGAATTAGTGTCACTAATTAAATTTTTTAACTCTACTGTTTAAAACTAAAGCTAATATAAATACTAAACTATACAGATTTGTAATATCTTTACTTTATTGTAATTTCTTTGTAGGGCGATCGTATACATGCTTCTATTGGCAAGTCTGTTTTGCATATTTTCAACAAAAAAATTAATGAGCTTGGATTATATCTTATGGCGAAATTTGTCGTCTACCAAAACAAGGAGAGGATCAACACCACAAAACATAGATTGATGCTGACGTTTACTCAATGGACAACAGTGGCTGAAACAATTGATCCACTTTTTCCAATGAATATCTTTGAGCTGCGACCATATCATCAATTGATAAATAAAGTTGATGTCAACGAGAGTGAATTATTTGGTAATATTTGTGTTTATTTTAATTAATTTTTACATATTTTTTTTAATAGATTGATGCTAATTATTTTTACATCTTTAATATTCTTTAGATGTTATCGGAGAAATTGTCAATTTTAGTAAGGTACAAACGCAAAAACAAGGTGAAATTACTAGGAAGTATATGAATATCGAACTAGAAGATGATGAGTAAGAATAAACAGACAACCATCTATTAAATAGATATTTTTCATAAATACATATACTAAACATTATACACTACTTCTATTTCACAGGAGGAACAAGTTATCTGCTACATTCTGGGAGGAATTTGTTGATCNTTATATCTTATGGCGAACTTTATCGTCTGCCAAAACAAGGAGAGGTTCAACACCACAAAACATAGATTGATGCTGACGTTTACTCAACGGACAACAGTGGCTGAAACAATTGATCCACTTTTTCCAATGAATATCTTTGAGCTGCGACCATATCATCAATTGATAAATAAAGTTGATGTCAACGAGAGTGAATTATTTGGTAATATTTGTGTTTATTTTAATTAATTTTTACATATTTTTTTTAATAGATTGATGCTAATTATTTTTACATCTTTAATATTCTTTAGATGTTATCGGAGAAATTGTCAATTTTAGTGAGGTACAAACGCAAAAACAAGGTGAAATTACTAGGAAGTATATGGATATCGAACTAGAAGATGATGAGTAAGAATAAACAGACAACCATCTATTAAATACATATTTTTCATAAATACATATACTAAACATTATACACTACTTCTATTTCACAGGAGGAACAAGTTATCTGCTACATTCTGGGGGGAATTTGTTGATCAAGTTATACCTCACCTTTTAAGTTCTAACAACCAGCCTATTATTGTTGTTATGCAGCTCATAAAAGCGCATAAATTTCAAGGTAACATGCAACTATTAAATTTCACTTAACTTTTTGAAAGTTATTCATCACATGTTACATATAATTATTTTTTTCCATATTCATATTCTGTGCGCAACACTTGGAATACATCAAAGTTGTGGATTAATCCTACTTTTCCTCAATCTGAAGAGTTTAAAACACGGTTAAATATATTTTAATAATGTATCTACACTCATATCTATCTTTTGATGTATATTTCTAACTGTAATCCTCATTTATACATATAGATTACTTTCTGTTCGAGATAGTTGCTCTGAGAGGCTTACTCAAACCATCTCTCAACAAAGTTTCTCTGTTTCGGATGAGTTACAGAAGGGCATTGCTGAAGTTAAAACAATTGCCCAATTAGTCCAGTCGATGCAAGTGAGTTCACTCTTTTTATCTTCTTTCTTTGATTTTTCAGAAGACCATCTTTTCTATTTGTTTTCTTCTGATATTTAAGTCAGTGGTTATCCTATTTTACTGCAGTAAAATGCCATTATACAATTATAAAATAATGACTTTTTATATGATTGGTACTCCATGTGCATAAATATGTAGAGTTGAAATAATGTTAGTTGTTATAATATTGGATGGAACACATGTCACTTATGTTTGTTCAATGTAATCGTTGGCCCAGATTGTAGTTTCTTTCTTCATATTAATGCACACAAGGGAAATATCACTAACCACTCTTATCAGTTTGTTGATCTCTTTGCATTCTTAAGACTACCAGCTTTAGCAGTCGAATTAATTTGGGTGGCGCGATCAAAGAAATTTTAGATTTAAGAGTCTTTCATCTTTTAAAGACAGTGTAGGTAGTCTGAACAGCGCCTGTTGCCATGTCGAGCCCTTTGGTTGCCATTTTTTCTGCCTCTTACTATATATTACTATATGGTACACAAAAAGTTCCAAGCTTGACAAACCCTGAGATCACAACTGTGCCGAAGCCATAGCTTCTACCCATACCAAAGCCTGAAATTCCTGTTATGTCAACGCCTGAAGTACCAATTGTGCCGATGCCTGAGCTGTCAGCTATCCCAATACCTGACTTACCAACTTTGGCAAAACCTTATATCCCAGCTGTGCTAAAGCCCAAGCTTGCTGCTATGCCAAAGGTTGAGATCCCAGCAATGCCAAAACCCGATTTACCAAACAAACCAAAGCCTGACAATGAGTTTCTATTGTGTTCAATATTTTCATCTATTATGTACCACAAGTTTGCGTCCATAATTAAAATGACCTGGTAAGAAAATGTAAAGACATATATTAGTATGTAGGATAACAAACTACCCCCAATATCTTACTTTCAATGTACAATACGATCTTTAGGGTGGCGCACATGGACTGCCAAATGGCAGTTCCTCAACCAGAATGCAGAAGGATTATTGTCATGCAGAATGCTGACAATGAGTTGCCATTTTTTATGCCTCTTACTATATAATACTTGATGGTACACAAAGACGCCAAATCTGATCTTACTGAAACTTCAGTCAACAAAAGCCAAATTATGTACTAAGTTACATAAAGTTGTATCAACTTTCATACGAGCAACGATCCGGAAAGCTGAGATCCCAACAGTGGCAAAGCCTTAGATTACATCCATGCCAAAGACTGAGATCTCAAATTTGTCAAAAACAGAACTTCCTCCCCTAAAAAGGCCATAGGTTCCTGCAATTCCAACACTGAGCTTCTTACAGCAATCACAAAGCCTGAGCTCTACAATAGGGCCTGAATTCACACATTGTCCAACAAAATAACCCCTCGTTGTCAGTATGTTGAGCTCTTGCCATTCTTAGTCGTAGCAGCTTTAGCATCAGAATTAATTTGCGTTGCGCGATTAAACAAACTTTTAGGTTTTTCATCTATTAAATACAGTCCAGGCAGTCTGAACAGCCTCCCCTGCCATGTCGAGCCCTTTGCTTGCCATTTTTTATGCCTCTTACTATATAATACTATATAGTACACAAAGACGCCAAATCTCATCTTACTGAAACTTCAGTCAACAAAAGCCAAATTATGTATTAAGTTACATAAAGTTGTATCAACTTCAACAAAGCAACGATTGAATTTATTAATTAACATTGAATTGGATACATTATATTCTATAAGAACACACTTACGTAGTGAACTTGCTATAAATTAAATAGATCCGTTATGAAAAATTTAAATTATATGAATTTATGATCATTGTTTGGTTCACCATAATGCAGCTGCGTATCTGTCCATTTCAATAGTCATATACTAATACCGTATATCCAAACGCATTTGCCAAATAAATGCTGGATTGTTTCAATTGTTTGATCATCACATAAACAAGAAGCTATGTTGTCGTCACTGTTATCTGCATTTGCCGTAATATTTCTTATATGAGCAATCTATTTTTAGTTGCTACCCAATCAATGAATCTGTTCTTTTGCTGTTAACACTGGCTTTAAATTAGACTACCATTCTCCATCTTATTAGTTATAACCATTTTTCAATGGAAACACAAACGGAGAGTATAGATTGCTCTTTCCCTGCCCCACATTTTGTGAAATCTTCCCCTTCCCTTTAACATACAACATATTCCACTTTTCTTCAGCACTTAGTCCATTCAAATATATGAATTTCATACTTTATATTATCATCTCTCAGATGACATATTGGTTGACTACCATAATTTTTGAAATATAAAGTATGCAAATTATATATTATTATTTTTTGCATATATACTCTCTATATACGTGATGATTTAAAATTTAATTATTTTATTAAACAGGAAGGTCCCTGTTGGATTGTCGGAAGTATAGAAAATTTAGAACTTGAGAAAGGATGATGTTATGTCAGTTGCAAGAAGTGTCAAAAAAGGTGGATAAATTGGGAAACATTTATCAATGCCCAAACCCCAAATGCAAAAATGAAGATTACTCTAAAAGAAACAAAGTATTAAATATTATCTTACCAGGTCATTTTAATTATGGACGCAAACTTGTGGTACATAATAGATGAAAATATTGAACACAATAGAAACTCATTGTCAGGCTTTGGTTTGTTTGGTAAATCGGGTTTTGGCATTGCTGGGATCTCAACCTTTGGCATAGCAGCAAGCTTGGGCTTTAGCACAGTTGGGATATAAGGTTTTGCCAAAGTTGGTAAGTCAGGTATTGGGATAGCTGACAGCTCAGGCATCGGCACAATTGGTACTTCAGGCGTTGACATAACAGGAATTTCAGGCTTTGGTATGGGTAGAAGCTATGGCTTCGGCACAGTTGTGATCTCAAGGTTTGTCAAGCTTGGAACTTTTTGTGTACCATATAGTAATGTATAGTAAGAGGCAGAAAAAATGGCAACCAAAGGGCTCGACATGGCAACAGGCGCTGTTCAGACTACCTACAATGTCTTTAAAAGATGAAAGACTCTTAAATCTAAAATTTGTTTGATCGCGCCACCCAAATTAATTCGACTGCTAAAGCTGGTAGTCTTAAGAATGCAAAGAGATCAACAAACTGATAAGAGTGGTTAGTGATATTTCCCTTGTGTGCATTAATATGAAGAAAGAAACTACAATCTGGGCCAACGATTACATTGAACAAACATAAGTGACATGTGTTCCATCCAATATTATAACAACTAACATTATTTCAACTCTACATATTTATGCACATGGAGTACCAATCATATAAAAAGTCATTATTTTATAATTGTATAATGGCATTTTAATGCAGTAAAATAGGATAACCAATGGCTTAAATATCAGAAGAAAACAAATAGAAAAGATGGTCTTCTGAAAAATCAAAGAAAGAAGATAAAAAGAGTGAACTCACTTGCATCGACTGGACTAATTGGGCAATTGTTTTAACTTCAGCAATGCCCTTCTGTAACTCATCCGAAACAGAGAAACTTTGTTGAGAGATGGTTTGAGTAAGCCTCTCAGAGCAACTATCTCGAACAAAAAGTAATCTATATGTATAAATGAGGATTACAGTTAGAAATATACATCAAAAGATAGATATGAGTGTAGATACATTATTAAAATATATTTAATCGTGTTTTAAACTCTTCAAATTGAGGAAAAGTAGGATTAATCCACAACTTTGATGTATTCCAAGTGTTGCGCACAGAATATGAATCTGGAAAAAAATAATTATATGTAACATGTGATGAATAACTTTCAAAAAGTTAAGTGAAATTTAATAGTTGCATGTTACCTTGAAATTTATGCGCTTTTATGAGTTGCATAACAAGAATAATAGGCTGGTTGTTAGAACTTAAAAGGTGAGGTATAACTTGATCAACAAATTCCTCCCAGAATGTAGCAGATAACTTGTTCCTCCTGTGAAATAGAAGTAGTGTATAATGTTTAGTATATGTATTTATGAAAAATATGTATTTAATAGATGGTTGTCTGTTTATTCTTACTCATCATCTTCTAGTTCGATATCCATATACTTCCTAGTAATTTCACCTTGTTTTTGCGTTTGTANACGTTTGGACCTCACTAAAATTGACAATTTCTCTGATAACATCTAAAGAATATTAAAGATGTAAAAATAATTAACATCAATCTATTAAAAAAAATATGTAAAAATTAATTAAAATAAACACAAATATTGCCAAATAATTCACTCTGGTTGACAACAACTTTATTTATCAATTGATGATATAGTCGCAGCTCAAAGATATTCATTGGAAAAAGTGGATCAATTGTTCAGCCACTGTTGTCCGTTGAGTAAACGTCAGCATCAATCTATGTTTTGTGGTGTTGATCCTCTCCTTGTTTTGGCAGACGATAAACTTCCCATAAGATATAATCCAAGCTCATTATTTTTTTTGTTGAAAATATGCAAAACAGACTTGCCAATAGAAGCATGTATACGATCGCCCTACAAAGAAATTACAATAAAGGAAAGATATTACAAATCTGTATAGTTTAGTATTTATATTAGCTTTAGTTTTAAGCAGGAGTTAGTGCATTGGATTCCGGGCAACTGCATCTAGTAGAGCTGACTGAAGACCAAAGCAATCTCCTTTCTAGTCTAGTCTAGGCTTCTAGCCTTGAAAATGAGTCCTTAAACTCCCCTAGCT